GAGGGGCCAAGGGGGCTGCACAGGGGTGGGGCCTCCCCCTACCTAGGTGTCTTCTAAGCCGGCTGGGAGGTGACAGCCTTGGCCCATATATGCCTTTGTATTCAGAGGGTCTGTGGGCTGAAGCTGTCCCCCAGCTCAGTCAGGGCAGTGGCTCCTCCACCCAGGGCCGTCAGGGAAAGTGCCCAGGGCCGGGGCTATGACAGGGCAGGCCTCTGTGCAGGACTAGCAGAGGCACAGGACACATACCTGCTCCACCCACCTAAGGGCGCTAGAGGACGGTGGGGAGCTGGCTCCCAGGCGCAGACAGTTAGGCAACTGAGCACGTGACTGGCTCCTCTGAACCTTGACCCTCCATCAGCACAAGGCAGTTGTATTAGTCCGTTTGTGTTGCTGTAACAGAAATACCTGAGACTGGGTAATGTATAAAGAACAGAGGTTTATTTGACTTACGATTCTGGGACAGCTGCATCTGGCACGGGCCTCAAGCTGCTTCTACTCATGGCGGAAAAGCAGCAGGCAGCCGGTGGGTACAAGCAGATCACATGGTGAGAGGAAGTGAGAGAGAGAGAGAGGAGGTGCCAGGGTCTTTTTAAACAACCAGCTCTCACAGGAACTAATAGAGGGAGATCTCACTCAGGGAGAGCATTAATCCATCCATGAGGGATCCACCCCCATGACTCAATCCGTTTCCAGCACTGCCACACTGGGGATCAAATTTCCACATGAGTTTTGGAGGGGACAACACATGCAAACTCCATCAATCTACCCCTGGCCCCCCAAAACTCATGTCACTCTCACATACAAAATAAAATTATTCCATCCCAACAGTCCCAATAGTCTTAGCTTGTTCCAGCACCGACTTAAAAGTCCAAAGTCTCATCTGAGACCAAAAGCAAAAGTCCTTCCAGCTGTGAACCTAAAGAACAAAACCAAATTTATCTACTGCCAAGATACAATGGTGGAACAGGCCATGGGTACACATTCCCATTCCAAAAGGGAGGAATAGACCAGAAGAAAGGAGAAACAGGTTCCAAACAAGTCTGAAACCCAGCAGGACCGATATTAAGTCTTAAAGCTCCAAAATAATCTTTGACTCCAACTCCTGCATCCTGGGCACAATGGGGCATCTGGGCCCCTAAAACTTTGGGCAACCTCACTCCCACAGCTCTGCCAGGTGCAGCCCAGTGGGCTGCACTGGTGCCTGCAGCTTTTCCAGGCCTGTGTTGCACATTGCCAGGAGCCCTGCAGTTCTGGTCCTGGCGGCAGCCCCGCTGCCTTAGCTCTACTAGACATTTGCCTGGTGGGGTCTCTCTGTGGGGGCTCCAACCCCACTTTCCTGCTTGGCATTGCTCTAGTAGATGGCCTCTGTGGTGGCTTTGCCCCTGTGGCAGGTCTCTGCCTCAGCCTCCAGGCTTTTCCATACATCCTCTGGAATCTGGGTGGAGGCTGCCACGCCTCCACTGCTCTCATGTCCTGCTGGCCTGCAGACTTAACACAACGTGGATGCCACCAAGGTTTCAGTCTTCTACTCTCCAGAGCTGCTGCACAAACCACACTTGGGGGAGCTGTCTGAGGCAGGGCTGCTCCAGCCAGAGCAGCTGGGATGCAGGGAACAGGTTCCCAAGGGCAGCTGCGCCCCAGGTCTGTCCTCTGGGACAACTCAGTGTTTCTAGGCCTCAGGGCCTGTGGTGGGTGCGGCACCCTTTCAGACTTTTCAAATGCCTTTAGGGCCTTTTCCCATTGTCCTGGTTCTTAGCATCTGGCTGCCTCATCATGAAACTAATGTCTTCAGCAAACAGTTTATCTGCTTCACCCTTGCATTTTTCTCCTGCTCTCCGCTTCTCTACCGCATGGCCAGGCTGCAAATTTTCCAAATCTTTACTCTCTGCTTCCCTTTTAAATTCTGGCTTTACATCATGCCTTTGCTGCCATAACTCAGAGTAGGCTGTTAAAAGTAACCATGCAGTTTCCTTAATGCTTTGCTGCTTAGAAATTTCTTCTGCCAAACATTCTGGTTCACAACTCTTAAGTCCCACCTTTCGCAAAGTCCAAGGGCATGGACACAGTGCAGCCAAGTTCCTTGCTATGGTGTAACAAGGGTTATCTTTTGTCCAATTCCCAATAAGCTCCTCATTTCTGAGACCTCATCACGTGCATGGCCTTTACTGTCCATATTTCTTTTTTTTTGTCTTTTTCTTTTCTTTTTTTCCTTTTTTTGTCTTTTTTCGTGACTGGCAACAGATCGCAACCCTCAGTGTCGCGCCCGTACCGGACCGGGACCGGCAATGGGATCACAAGCCTCAGTGTTGCGCCCGCACCTCGCTCAGCCAGTGAGCGGGAACCGGTCTGTATGTGGGATCCGAACCCTTGGCAGGAGTGCCGCCGCACTTCCCAAGCGGCGCACTGTAGCAGTGCGTCACCGGGCCGGCCCATACTATCCATATTTCTATCAGCATTCTGGTCACAACCATTTAACCAATCTCTAAAATCTTCCAAACATTCTCTCATCTTTTTCTCTTCTTCTAAGTCGTCCAAACTCCTCCAACCTTTGCCCATTACCCAGTTCCAAAGCTGCATCCACATTTTCAGGTATCTGTATAGCAACACCCCACTCCTCGGTACCAATTTTCTGTATTAGTCCATTTGTGTTGTTATTAACAGAAATACCTGAGACTGGGCAATTTATAAGGAAAAGAGGTTTATTTGGCTTACAGTTCAGGGGGCAATGGTAGCACCCCCAAACTGAGGAGTATGGGTGAGTCAGGAAGGGCACAGAGCACAGAAGCCACTGCCCCTCCCTGTCCTCCCTCCTTCCCTTCTCCTGTGGACTCACCTGCCTCCCTTCTCCCTTCTCTGCCTCATCCATCCCCTCTCCACGCCCCACCCGACCTGCTAGCAGATGCTGGAGGCCGGAGCTCTGCTGTTGGCAGCTGCCTCGTTGGGCCTGGTGCTGCTGACACTGCTGCTCCTGCACAGAGGCTGGGCCTGGGGCCTCCTTCTCATCGCCTGCTGCGAGTACGTTGTGCAGCCCATCCATGACCTGCTCATGGGCAACAGCAAGGAGCAGCGCATCTTGCACCACATGCTAGAGCATGCCAAGGCGGGGGATCCACAGAGTGTGCTGGAGGTCATTGACACCTACTGCTCGCAGAAGGAGTGGGCCATGAATGTGGGCGACAAGAAAGGTGGGTAATCCAGCTGGCAGGTGGGCAGCACAGCCCTGCCAGGACTGGCCTGCCAGCACCCCGTTACTGGGTGGTTGAGAAGCTTGGGACAGGCCCAGATGGGGGTTAGGGGCTTATCTGGAGCCCTGGGGGCCCAAGCCGCAGGCCCAGCCTCTCACTTCCTGACCTGGACACCCATCGCAGGACTCTGTACCCAGACCAGTGGGGAGAGAGTGATGTTAGACCAAAAAAAAAAAAGTGCTTTGTAAAGAGAGCGCCAGCCCAGGAAGGCCCATTGTCCAGGGCCCCGGAGGTGGGAGTCAGGCTCTGCACTGTCCTTGCCACAGACTACTCAGTGGGCACTGGTCCCTGGTGACTCCTCATGTCCCCACTGCTGGGGAGGCCCCCACAGTCATGGGGTTTGAAGGTGGGGCAACTATCCTTGAACTCTCCCTGGCAGACATGGGACCTGCCTAGAGACCAGCCAGTCAGGTTCTCCCAGCTCCCCTCCCTCCCCCATTGGTCTGCTTCTGACCTAGGACTTCAGGCTGGAGCAGAGGCAGGCCCTGCTACACTCCCTGGAGTCTGTCCCTGGGGACAAGACTGCCCCTGCCCAGCCCCCTCAGAGCCCATGACACAGCATCCAGCTCTGGGTAGTCAGGGGGGCCCTGAGTATGGGGTGGGGTGGGGTGGGGTTTCCAGAGAGGGCAGCTCTGGGTTAAGGTGCATTGTGGTCAGCCAGGGAGGGTGGCAAGGAGAGAGGGACCAGTGAGTGCAACGGTGCAGAGGCCTGAGGGACCATGGGATCCCCGATGGTATGCACAGTGGGCACCAGGTCCTCAGGGCCAGGGGTCTGGGAGGTAAAAGACCCCCCAGCAGCAGGTAGGACGGGTGGAGGTGAGAGGGCCAGAGGTCAGGCATCCTGGAGGGGCTGTAGCTCGGTCAAGACAGGAGTGGGGCCCAGGACGGAGGTCGGGTCCCCCTTCTTTCACCTGTGCTCACATCCCTCTCCCCTCGACCCTGCAGGCCAGATCATGGATGCCGTGGTGCGGGAGTACCAGCCCTCGGTGCTGCTGGAGCTGGGGGCCTACTGCGGCTACTCGGCCGTGCGCATGGGCCGCCTGCTGGCGCCTGGTGCCCGGCTGCTCACCATCGAGCTCAACCCTGACTACGCTGCCATCACCCAGCGCGTGCTGGACTTCGCGGGCCTGCAGGACAGGGTGTGTACGCCTGAGCTGGGTGAAGATAGGGATACTGAGGCTCAGAGGGGCCGGGGTAGGCCAGTCACCCCCAAGCCGGGTTCAAGCCCTCAGTCACAGAGCACCCACTGTAACTGGGCCCCACGGTGCTTCTCAGGCCCAGCGACAAGGAAGGAACCCCTGGCAGCTCGGTGAAGGGTTCCTGCTGCCCCGCTC